TCTTTGATGTGCAAATCACGTAGTGTTTCGCCTATATTTCCTTCTATATATTTTATGGTTTCAGGTCTTATGTCTAGTTCTTTAATCCATTTTGAGTTGATTTTTGTGTATGGTGTGAGGTAGTGGTCAAGCTTCATTCTTTTGCATGTAGCGACCCAGTTTTCCCAGCACCATTTATTGAACAAACTTTCTTTGCTCCAATGCATAGTCTTTGCTCCTTTGTCAAAGATTAGTTGACCATAAATCTGTGGGTTTATTTCTGGATTTTCTATTCGATTCCATTGGTCTGTATGTCTGTTCTTGTTCCAATACCATGCAGTTTTGATGATTATGGCTTTGTAGTAGAGTTTGAAGTCTGGGAGTGTAATGCCTCCATTCCCTTCTTTTTTTTTCAGGAGAGCTTTGGCTATTCGGGGTTTTTTGTGATTCCATATGAATTTCATCAATAATTGTTCTATTTCTTTGAAGAATGACATTGAAATTTTGATTGGAATAGCGTTGAATCTGTATATTGCTTTTGGAAGGATGGCCATTTTAATAATGTTTATTCTTCCAATCCACGAGCAGGGGATGTCTCTCCATTTCTTTGTGTCTTCTTCTATTTCTTTTAACAGTGTTTTATAGTTTTCTTTGTATAGGTCCTTTACCTCTTTTGTTAGATTGATTCCCAAATATTTGATTTTTTTTGTTTCAATAACAAAAGGGATGGTTTTTTTGATTTCTTCTTCTTCAGATTTATTGTTTGTGTATAGGAAGGCTACTGACTTTTGCGTGTTGATTTTGTATCCTGCCACTTTACTGAACTGATTGATGAGTTGAATTAGCTTTTCTGTGGAGTTTTTGGGGTTCTCTATGTATAATATCATATCATCTGCAAATAGTGATAGTTTGACTTCTTCTTTTCCTATTTGGATTCCTTGGATGTCTTTCTCTTGTCTTATTGCCCTGGCTAGGACTTCCAGTATTATATTGAAAAGCAGTGGTGAGAGTGGACATCCTTGTCTTGTTCCAGATCTTAATGGAATTGCTTTCAGCTTTTCACCATTGAGAATGATACTGGCTGTTGGCTTGTCATAGATGGCCTTTATGATGTTGAGGTATGTTCCTTGTATCCCAAGAATTTCAAGGGCTTTTATCATGAATGGGTGTTGCACTTTGTCGAAAGCTTTCTCAGCATCTATTGATATTATCATATGGTTTTTATATTTCTTTTTGTTGATGTGTTGGATAACGTTGATTGATTTTCGGATGTTAAACCATCCTTGTGCCCCTGGAATGAATCCTACTTGGTCGTGGTGAATTATCTTATGGATACATTGTTGGATTCTGATGGCTAAAATTTTATTGAGGATTTTTGCATCAGTGTTCATTAGGGAGATTGGCCTGTAGTTTTCCTTTTTTGTGTTGTCCTTGTTCGGTTTTGGTATTAGTGTAATGTTGGCTTCATAGAACGTGTTTGGTATTGTCCCTTCCTTCTCAATTTTTTGGAAGAGTTTGTGAAGGATAGGCACTAATTCATCTCTGAATGTTTGGTAGAATTCATTTGTAAATCCATCAGGTCCTGGGCTTTTGTTTTTGGGGAGGTTTTTAATTACCATTTCAATTTCGCTAATTGTAATTGGTCTGTTTAGGTGTTCTATTTCTTCTTTATCTAGCTTTGGGTGATTGTAGAGTTGTAGGAATTTGTCCATCTCCTCTAGATTGTTAAACTTGTTTCCATATAACTGTTCATAGTAGTTACTGATTATTCTTTGATTTCTGCTGTGTCCGTTGTGATTTCTCCTCTTTCATTGATGATCCTGTTTATTTGTGCTTTCTCCCTTTTTTCCTTTGTGAGCCTGGCTAGGGGTTTGTCTATTTTATTGATTTTTTCAAAGAACCAGCTCTTGGTTTCATTGATCTTTTGGATTGTTTTTTTAGTTTCAATTTCATTTATTTCTGCTTTGGTTTTTATTATTTCTTTTCTTCTACTGGTTTTGGGGTTTTTTTGTTGTTCTTTTTCTAGATCTTTGAGCTTCGAGATTAGGTTGTTTCTTTGAGTTCTTTCTTGTTTCTTGATGTGAGCTTCTATTGCTATATATTTTCCTCTTATTACTGCTTTTGCTGCATCCCATACATTTAGGATATTGGTGTCCTCCTTGTCGTTCAATTCAAAAAATTTTTTAATTTCCTCTTTGATCTCCTCATTAGTCCAGTGGTCTTCCAGTAGTGTGGTTTTTAATCTCCATGAGGTAGGAAAGTTCCTTGCCTTCTTTTTATGGTTTATTTCTAGTTTGATGCCTTCATGGTCAGAAAAGATGGTTGATATGATTTTAATCTTGGTGTATCTGTTGATGTTTGTCTTGTGCCCCAGTATGTGATCGATCCTGGAGAATGATCCGTGTGCGCTTGAGAAAAATGTGTACTCCGTTTTTTTGGGGTTTAGTGTTCTATAGATGTCTGTTAAGCCCAATTGCTCTAGGTCCTTATTTAGAGCTTTGGTTTCTTTACTTATTTTTTGTCTTGTTGATCTATCCATTGTTGATAGTGGTGTGTTGAAGTCTCCCACTACGTATGTGTTTTCTCTGATGTCTGTTTTCAGAGAGGACAACAGTTGTCTGATATATTTTGGTGCTCCTTCGTTTGGTGCATATATGTTAATGAGTATTATTTCTTCTTGAAATATTGTCCCCTTGATCATAATGTAGTGACCATTGGGGTCTCTTTTTATCTTTTTGAGTTTGAAATCTGTTTTATCTGATATAAGTATAGCTGTTCCTGCTTTCTTTTTTGGCCCATTTGCTTGTAGGATTGTTTTCCATCCTTTAACTTTGAGCCTATTTTTATCTTTTGTAGCTAAATGTGTTTCCTGTAGACAGCAAAAGGTTGGGTTTTGTTTCTTAATCCAGGCTGCAACTCTGTGTCTTTTTATTGAAGAGTTTAGTCCATTTACATTTAGAGTTAATATTGATATGTTAACATCTGTATTTGCCATTGTGTTTGTCTTTCCTTTGATTTTATTTATTTATTCTTTTAATAACTTTTTTTTTTTTTTTGGCCTTCTTTCATTGTTATTCGTCCCTCTGAGGTTCTGGCTTTAGGACTCCTTGTAGTATTTTTTGGAGTGGGGGTTTAGTTGCAATGAAATTCCGGAGTTTCTGTTTGTCTGGGAAGGTCCATATTCTTTCTTCAAAGAGGAAGGAGAGCTTTGCGGGATAGAGTATTCTTGGTTGGCATCTGTTTTCTTGGAGTCTGTTGACTATGTCCCTCCACTCTCTCCTTGCCCGTAGTGTTTCTTCGGAGAAGTCTGATGTCAGCCTGATTGGCTTTCCTTTGAATGTTATCTGTTTCTTCCCTCTTGCCAGCTTCATTATTTTTTCCTTGTCCTGGATTCTTGGGAGCTTTACTATTATGTGTCTTGCTGTATTTTTTCTTTCGTCGTGGAAGTTTGGTGTACTTCTTGCTTCTTGTATATCAATTTTCAGCTCCTTCTTCACATTTGGGAAGTTCTCTTCAATTATCTCTTTGAATATTTTCTCTGTTCCTACTTCTCTCTCCTCTCCTTCTGGTATTCCTATAACTCTTATATTTCCTTTCCTCATGGAGTCAGATAGTTCCCGAAGTCTTTCTTCATTCTTTTTCCTTCGTACTTCTCTTTCCTTTTCTGTTTTGGTTCTTTTTATTTCTGTGTCTTCAAGAGCACTTATTCGTTCTTCCATTTCATCAATTCTGCTTTCATTGCTTTTCCCAGAATTCTTTAGTTCTTCCACTAATTCTTTGATCTCCTGCATTTCTTTTACTTCCCTCTTTAGGGACTCAATTTCATTCTTCTGATCGTTGATTATTTTTCCCTTATCATTGTTTTCCTTTATGACTTCTGTCAGTTTTTTAATCACGGCAATTTTAAATTCTCTTTCTGGAAGGCTCAGAAGTTCTTCCAAGTTACTGTCGTTGCAATCTGAGGGCTGGTTTTCTTTTTGTGGTGTGCTTTTTTTCTGGAGAGTTGCTAGGTTGCGTGTGGTTCTTCTCCTCCCTACTGTCTGTTTTCTAATTTGCCGTATGCGTTGGGACACTGTGTAGTTGGGACTGGCCGGCATCTTGGGTGAGCTTCTCTGCTCCCCTCTGGTTCCTCCAGGAGTCATCTGTCAGTTTCAAGCAGTCTTTATTGGAGAAAGGTCCCTGTCCTAAAATGTCGATGTGGGGACACACTCCCCTGTGCGCCTGGTCTGCCCCGGAGGTGGGTTCCTGCTCCCCCACTGGGCTTGGACTGCAGGCCAGAGGGGGTCTGGCGTGGGCGAACTTCCCCCGCTCACCTCTGGCTCCTGAGGAAGCCTTCTGCAGGTAGTCTTTACTGAAGAAATGTCCCTGTTCTAAAATGGTGATGTGGGACACACTCCCTGCGCGTACGGTGTCAGGCACACTCTTCTGCGTGCCTGGTCTGCCCCGGCTGTGGGCGCTCGCTCCCCCTGTGGGCTCAGACTACTGGTCGGAAGGGGCCAGGCGTGGGCTAACTCCCCAGCTGGCCACTATCTCCTTCAGGAGCCTGTGCTGGCTACAAGTCGCTAGGTGGCGCCAGAGATCTCTCCTAGAGCCCTTGGGGAGCTGATTTTCCACCCCGTGGGACAGGGAGCAGAGCGGGGATGGTAGGGTACACCTCTATGGCTTTGGGGTGCTGTGTCTGCCTTGTGCCCCACCGTCGTGCGGAACCCACGCCCCTAATTTCGTGCCCCGGGTCTCAGTTCCAAAGCCCTCAGTTCCAGGACGCGGGCTGTAGCCCAGATCAGTGGCGCGGGAATGGCGCCTTTTGAATCCCGCTCCCCTGCCTGGGCGCCTGGTTCCTGCTCACTCCGGGAGGGCCTCCGCGCGTCTCCCCGCAAGCCTAGGTCGTCTCCCGGCAAGCCTAGGTCGCAGGCGCGGGGACCTGGGCAGCTGCGATCCGATCCGCGCAATCCGCGCTGCTTTCCCTGCGCAATCCCGCTCCGCGTCTGTTTTTCCAGCGCGCCGCTTCCGCGCAGGCTTACCGGGCGGCCGGGGCTGTGTGCTGGTGCTGGGCTCCTCCTGGGCGGGGCTCTCTGCAATGGCGCCCGGAGCTCACCTCCGCGGCGGATCCTGCGGGGGTTCTCCACAGCTCCCGTTCACAGGGTGTGGTGGCTGCAATAGTTCCTTTCCGCTCACAGTCCCGCTTGCTGCGTCCTTTGTTCTTGTTGGCAGTTTTAGTGTGTCGTTTTCCTCCTCTCTGCGGGTCGGAGAGTCAACAAAAATAAATCTTAAAAAAAAAAAAAAGAATCTTTCCAGTAAAGGACAGCCTCTCTGATCCCTGCCAGCCAGTTGGTGGACTAAAACAGGCTTGCTCACGGGCACCCCCAGCCCAGTTCAAGCCTCCTGGGGATGTGGGGTAGGGGGAAACCTCTAAGCAGATGTGGCCACATTTCCACCTCCCCTAGTTTCTGAACACCATCACATGCCGGATGTGCCACTTGGCAAACCAAAAGTGGTACTTCCCCCATCAGAAAGGGGCTGAGTCTGCACGCTGCTCCCTGTGACGTGATTTCTGTGCACCCATCACCTGTCCCAAACTGGGAAAGAGCCGAGGCTTCTGTGGGTCCGGTGTTATTAACCACAGTCATCAGCCACCTCCCGCAACTGTCATTGATTGAGATAAATGATATTGCTTTTTTTCTTTCCAAAAAAGTCTATGGCTAATGAAGTCTCATTCGTGCCACAATCTCAGCAGTAGAGATAAATGAGAAACAATTTCTTGGTATCCATTATTTTAGATTACAGATATCAACCCTGATGCTGTTTTCAAGGTTTATTGAATTTTCATAGGCTATCATCAGCTTCTGCATTCTACACGTGTAATAGAAACCTGAACTCAGAGAGGTTTTATGGCCTCCTTTTAAGCCTCAATGAGAACGGGCTCCATTGCCCAGTCTCCCCAAAAAAACCTTCCAGAAAGTTCCAGCCTCTCTCGGCCAGACCAGGAGAGAAAGCAGAGGGAGCAGAGAAATTGGTAGAAGGGACACAGAAGAGGAAGAGCAGAAACAGCAAGAGGGCTTCCGGCCCAAGTCTGCTCACTGAACCAGGAGCCCCACGGCCTGGCACAGCGGTGTTCGTCTCCTCTGTCTCCCCACAACAGAGCGGGGCCACGGCGGGGCTGCTTCATTTCTTTGTACCTGACTGCCCACTCGACTCCCTTCAAGCCCCTACATCCCTCTACAGACACCAAATCCCCTAGACAAGCAGGCCTAGGCTGCCCTGAGTGAATGCTCAGGGAGAAGGTGATTTGATTCAATAACCCACCACGGCCACCCACTGCCCCTCACCTCCCTGCTGCTCAACACATCCCTCCAGATGCCAGTGGCCTTCCTGCAGTGGCCACGGTCCTCCTGGCACATCCCAAACATTCCGCACTGCGAGCCCCAGTGCAGACCAGGGCACCCCCAGCTCATGGGCCACCAAGGAAGGTGGTCACAGAGGCCTTACCACTCTCCCCGAAATGAAGCCCAGAGGGCGGGGGGCACACAGCAGGGACCCCGGCCTTCAGGGGTGGGCATGTATGTGTGCGTGTGCACATGTGTCTGCATGTGTGCATGTGTGTACTTGAGCATAGGTGTGCGCTTTCACTTACTAGAAGGTAAGCCCCAGGGGTTCAGCAATTAAGCTGACAGCGCTAGTCTCCATGGAGCACATGGCCTAGTGGGGGAGAGGAACAACAGTGTGTATAGTAACAGGAAAAGGCATAGGAGAGCTGGCAGGGAAGCAGGCACCGTGAAGGTGCGGGCAGTGGCTCAAGGAGGGAGCAGTAACTAACCTAGGCCTAAAGGCTGGGAGTGAGAGATCACTAGACTACGAAAGGGTAGCTGCATGGAGAGCCCCACCTGGCAGGCGCGGAGGCCTGCAGCAAGGGGACATAACCTACTCAGGGAGACCCATCAAGGAAGGTGCCAGAAAATTAAAATGTCCATCTCGCTCTGCCCCCATCCTCCAATCTGCTGCCTGCAATCCATTGCATGACTCAACTGGAAGCCAGAGCAAAGGAAAGGCAGCACGGATGCCACCCACACAGGACAGCTCTCGGCACAGAGAAGGGGGCAGGTGCAGGCAACGTGTGGCCCTTGCTATGGAAAGATGGACCCCATGACTGGAAGGAAGGCTGGGATCCAGTAAAAAGAGGAACAAGCCAAAGGGCTGGAAGATCTTTCTGAAAAGTGACATTTTGAAGGGCAGAGAGGGCTAAGGGGTGACCCCAGAGTTCAGAGGGTTGAGGTGTGCGAGGAAGCTCAAGGGTCCATGGAAGGTTGGAGGCCGACCAACACCCACGGGCCCCAGAGAAGGTGGTAAGAGCTTGGGCATCGCTCTAAATGTGATCAGAGTCCACTGATGGAGTTCAGGGGAGTGACAGTCGCTGAGAACACCCACAAAAATGTAAACAGAGGAGGAGACAAAAAGTATCGAAATTTGGGGAACTGGAAAGCAAATGGGTGAAGAGTTGCTGACCCACAGAACAGAGCTGCAGGCCGCCGCGGGGAAACACGAAAGTGCTCACTTTGCACCTCCTCGACCCCACACAGGCCTGGAGCCAGAGATGCTGCTCCTTCTGAGTGGCATGGAGGTGTCGGTCCACCGGGTGGTTGCCTGACCATCTACATGAGAAGCGCTAAGACCCACTGCCCCCTCCCCACTCCCTGCACAGCTGAGAGCTGCACCCACACACACGGGCAGAAGCTGGGGTTTCCAAGGGGCTGCTCTCAGGGACCCTAGTCCCACCTGAGCACAGAGCCCATGCTGAAATGGATGAAGATGACGTCTACCTGCCACATGGCAAGAACCCCCTCCTGCCTGCCTGGTTCTGGAAACCTTGGTAACCGGGCTCTTAGGACAAGCACAACATGGAGAAGAGAGTCACGGGCCTGCACAGAACAGAGGGGCCTGCTCTGCAATGGGCTAAATAGTCTCCCAACATCCCCACCAGCCAGAAACTCACAAGGTGAGCTCATTTGGTAATAGGGTCTTTGCAGCTGCAGTTAAGAATTGCGGCGAGGCCATTAAGGTAGGCATTAAGGTGGGCCGTAAGTCCAGTGACAGTCCTTAAAAAGAGAGAAAAGGGGCTTCCCTGGTGGCACAAGGGGTTAAGCACAGCACTATGAAGCTGTCCACAGCCACTGCAGCACGAGTTCCATCCCTGGCAGGGAGGTGGCCAACGTGGCGCAGCAGACCCCTCCTGTCTCTCCCGCGGCTCCCCTCAGCAGTGCATTTCAGTCAAGTCTGCCTGTTCTGTTCCCCGCTCTGTCTCTGGTGAATCCTCTCACCTCCTGTATCTCTGGCCTGCCTCCAGTCCTTGTATGCATAAATAAAAAAAAATCTTTAAAAAGAACAAAGACAGGAAAGGACACAGAGAAGGAAGAGGGCCAGGTGAAGGCAGAGACTGGAATTGTGCAGCCACAAGCCAGGAACACCAGGCGCCTCCAGAAGCTGAAGAAGCCAGGAAGGGCCTTCCCCCGGAGCCTGCAGAGATAGTTTGCCTGCAAACACCTAAATTTCAGGCTCCTGGACTCCAGAACGCTCTGTGGTAATATACTACAGCACCCTCAGAAAAGTACTCTTTCTCTCAATTCCAGTTACCTCAGTAAAACCGGCCTCTCGGCATCTCCACCCCTCCCGTTCACTCATAAACATGTGCACAGCTCAATGGGTTCTCTGGCCATGGGGCCTGACTCTCATTTGCCTCCGTCTAGATGACCAGGGTACCTCTCCCCAAGGGAACAGGGCTCTCCGTCCCAGCAGCTCAGAGGCCTCCTTCCTCACTGCTAAGTCGCTGCCTGGGCTCTGCTCCTTTCCGCCCTAGGAAGGGGAGAGAGCCTGAATAAACATGGGTCTATTTCCCCTGCCTGCCTCTCCCCAACCTTCTGAGCTGGGTCAGATGCCCTCAGAGCCCAGCTAATCGTGGCAACCCACCCAATGGGCACCTCACTAGGCATGTCTCCCAGGGCACAGCACCCCAAAAGCATCATAGCAGAATTGCAGCAGGGCTGCACTAAGGGCTCAGCCTTTGGGATCTGAGGGGACCCCTGGGGTGTCTGTCCTTACCCATCATTTAACTCTCTGCAAGCACATGTTCCCCTCCACCTCCACACACACCCTCTGTGCCCTGCAGAAAGGGTTTGGGGCAGCAGAGATTTAGAGAAACCCACAGCACCCAAGGCCTAGGGGGGAGGTCAAGGGCCTGAGGATTCTCCCCAACTTATTCCATTTACAGATGGAGAAAGAGCCATCACATACATTTGCAATGTACTCATTTCGATCAGTCATTCATTTAGTTAACAAGCATTTACTGGACTCCTATTGTTTGCCAAGTCCCAAACTAGAGAGAGAAAGAATAAAATGTGCCCTCACAAGCCCAACGTCACCACATGAGAGAAAGCCAAATGGCAGCAAGTCAAATCTCCGCAGACACTCAGCCCTCCAGAGAGCTGACATTAGCTCCGAGCATCCACACTCAGGGCTAACACCCCTGCACAGCACCTCCAACTTCAGGGTCCACAAACCGTCAAAATACACCCTTTCCTACCTCGTTTATCATGACCCAAACATCATTTCAGGCCCCAGGCAAGACCCCCGGAGCTACAAAGACAAAAGTGACATCCCCACCCTCAAGGATCCAAGCATCATGAAGGGAGGGGGCAAGCGGCCCGGTGGGCTCCAGGTCCAGGAGGGACGCCCAGGTCCCTCCACTCTGCAGAGCCAGGGATGGTTTCCCGCCCCAGCAGGACTTAGTGACAGGCGAGGATATTGGGGGCAGAGAAAAGACCAAGCCCTATCCCCAACTGAGGGAAAGGAGGGACCTGAGGTCCCCTGGCCCTGCCCGGAGACTGACATTAGACCCCCATTCATCACTCCTCCTTCCAGAAGGTTTGCATTCTTTTTAACTGACCACAGAGTGAGAGACCAGTTCTCTGCCTGGCATCAAACTTCAGCCCCTGTCCTCCAAGCAGTTCTTGAGGTCTTGCTCAGCCAGTTGGGTGGGAGGGTGGAGCAGGGGGTGCACAGCAGCCCAGTCTCAAGGGTCTTGGTAGTTCTGCCCTGGGGCTGCCACCCACCTGGACACACCCCACTCAGATCCCAAGCAGACAGCAGTTAAGTAGCAGATGCACCTCACTCTGGCATCCCTGACATTACCATATTCCACCTCCGGGCCTTTGCCTTTGGTGTTGCATCAGCCTGGACTGCCTGTCC